TTTCACCTATGAAAATAGTCCTTTTTCATTCTCCTACTAGTGCTCCTTTTCATGTCTGATAAATGACCCTATTCAATTCTGAGAGACAAATCGTTTTATTTTGACAAGTGCCCCCTTTTCCTCCTGATAAGTGCTCTTTTCATCTCTAATAACACCCCCTTTTATTTTGACACGTACCCCTTTTCCTTCCTAATAAATGCTCTTTTTCCTTCATAATTTCCGCTTTTCATAAAAGCCTCCTTTCACCTCCAATAAATGCCCCTATCAAAATCTGATCGGTGATCCTTTTCTTTCAACAAATGCACATTTCCCTTTATTATTAGTGCCCCCTTTTCCTTCTCATAATTAACCTTTTTTAACAATGATACGTGCCCCTTTTCCTTTCTTATGAGGAACCTATCCCTTTTTCATAAATGCCCCTATCAAAATCTGAGGGTTGCCTTTTTTCCGTCGACAAATGCTCAATTTCCATTCTCATAAGTGCCTTTTCATCCCTGGTGAGTGCCCCGTTTTCATTTCTGATAATAACCCTTTGTACTTTGACACGTGCTCCTTTTATTTTCTAATAAGTGTCTTATCCCTTCGATAAGTGTCCCCTTTCCTCTCAACATTAAACGTGCCCCTAATTTCAAGCGACTAACATCAATATCTCCCAAAGCTCGCTCGCTACGCTCGCTCACATTTATAGATGTTATAATTATGTTACTTATCAAAGGTCTTTTCAGTTTGCTGTTATGAAAATGTGCTGATTTATAACCCGATGAAGATTGGTTTTTCCTCTTTAGAAGATGTAGTTTTCGCACTGTGACCTCACAAATCTTATATTTTTCCTCGCTCGCAAATGATTTTTTCGACCATCACACCCAACTGCAAGGTATGATGCTTTAAAAAGCAATATTTTATACGATGTATAAAGAGAAACAAATATTGAAATCATCCCTGATAATTTTAGGGGTATATACCAATGTCTAAAAATTGTTTATTTTCGCTTTGAGATTTCCCTTTGTATGTGTCCTTTTTTCCCAGAAAGTGCCCTTTTTTATTGGTGCCCCCCCCCCCCCCCCACTTTGGAAGTCGCTCTGCCGCCTCTGAGGCAGAATGTCAGATCCCCGGAGAACAGTCTATTGTGCATGAATTCAAGTCCAACGTGTTTATCGTAAATGAACACCTGTAAATCTAATGTAGAAATTCAAGTCCAGGGGTTGTTTACCAGTTCCTGTCATACTATCGGGAACATAATTAATGTTGTTCAACTTCTAGATGTATACAAAGTCAAACTAATAACCGTACAAATGGTCAACTTAACCCAACTCCTCTATTGTTATAGCGCCCCCTTAGGTCAATGTTTTGCCCAAATCAGCGTATATCTCCATTTACGGCTGGACTCCCAAACTTCTATTTTTCCTTTTCTTCAACTATTCATACAGGATACCCTTTTATAGCCTGGGTAGAGAGAAGCAATAGAAGCAACAATGCCGGCGAACCCGGCACGTTATATATGGATTATCTATGGTAGATTGTAGATCTACGGTAATTTTGAACTATTTTGTATCTTAATTGTGCAATTAATGTATTCGATTTTGTTTGTTGAGAAAAAAGAATAAAATAACATTCCAAATCTATAACTACAACAAAATCAATCCCCCCAATTCAAAAACACACCAGCCACTATGAAATGGACAACTCCCATGTACCATGCACACTGTTCGAGGCACCTGTAAAATTATGGATCTTCAGTGATAGGTCCCTCAGAAACTAGTGCTAAGCCCGTCACAGAGAATTTATGATTTCAACTGAAGCCTCTCAGTGCATAGTGCATTGATTTTTATTCAAATTTCATTTTTACTCTCCATATTTGATCATCATGGTGTTTTTGGCACTTGAGCTATCGTTGGATTGATAATATTGATTAATATATTCTCTATTTCTCCATCTCTCTCTCTCTCTCTCTCTCTCTCGGGCATAAAGGAAATATGAATATAATATAGGGCTTTGATAAAGACAACTTGAACATTTTATCAGTATTGAACAGGGGGAAAGAAATGGGTACGAAAATAATCAAAACGAACATCTAAGATACATGTATTCCAAGACACGACTCGGGCATTTTTCACGTTTATCTCCGTTTTAGCTTTTAAAATGATTAAATTGTATTATTAAAATAAGCCTATAGTATACCTAGGAAGAAGAAATTTGTTTCAATTTGCGATAAGAATTTAAAAAAATCTATTTGTACCACGGCAAAAAGAAACGTAAAATCATAGATCTCATAATAATTATAACGATGATTGTAGCAGCAACACAAATTTTGCTACGATGATAAGCCTATTAATCTTGTTTTTTTCCCTTTCCGATAGGGTGTTTTATTTCAAAAGGATTCTCTGAAAAATATAATTGAACATAATAGAATAATCGATATTACCAGAAAATTATTATACTTTGAACATAACATATACAGAATGGACTATCACCAGAAATCGACGTATAAGAAAGGTTCGTGAATCAGAATAGCAATACTGTATAAATCTTGGCCACCACCGCCTTTACGGCGGTAAATAATTTTCAAATGCTAGATTTTGCCTTTAAGTAGTGTAGAGGAACCCCGACATAGCATCAATGAATAAACAGTAATTATATATGCACTAGCTTTATCTATTGATGGGAGTTGGCCCATGTTTTTGTATGGGACTCATTTCTGTCTGAAGAAAGGCTCTAAAGAAAGAGAATTTCCTAACATAGCAGCAATGATTTACTTTAAAGTTATTGACCCTACCCTGTCATACTGACAAACAATCCAATACACTAATAGGTGAAGCTGGAGTGTAAAATCTGATGAGAAACACAAACTCAAAAAGTATTAAACCTCGCAAAATAGAGATACAAAAAAAAAATGACACATTTTAATGGGGAAAGTAGTAAAGTAACTTGACAATAATTTGCCAGCTCAGCTGTTGGGACCAGCTGTTTTTATGTTTTCTTCTTCTACTTATTAGACCTAGGGCCTTCTCGTCGGCAAATTTTACAATTTGTATGTCGGTAAAATTGTTTTTGTCTTTTTTTAATCATATTTTATTGCGGCGCAGTTTTTATCTTTATAGTCGTTCTATTATTTGTTCCAATTAGAAATATTAGGCGATTAAAAGCCTTGATTCCTAAAAATAGCAAACCCTCCACTTCCCGAGTCCCGTTACAATTTCGGGATACGCCCTTGTAATTATGAAGTACTATGCCTATCATATCGGGTAACTATATTTAGCATATGATATAAAGAGGGCGCTCTACAAATCTCAGATATTGACAAGTGTATCCTATCTCTGCTCATTCCCCCCCCCCCCTCTCTCTTCCCCCTTCTCCCCCCCTCTCTCTCTCTCTCTCTCTCTCTCTCTCTCCCCTCTCTCTCTCTATCTCTTTCTCTTTCTCTCTCTCTCTCTTTTTTTTTTTGGGGGGGGGGGATTGAGGGCTGAAGTGGCCTTATTTTTTTGTTGGGGGGGGGGGGGGACGCGCCCTTAGAGTCTAGTCCTAAAGGGACAGCGGGATTCCTAAAGGAAAACAATTCCTAGATTTTTTTTATAATTTTCAACTTACATAATTAATAATCTGTCAAACAAATAAGACATGCTTCAGTTGATTACCTTGTCGAAATCCAAATTGAAAATCATAAATTATGCTGTTTTCTATGAAATGTTTTTCAATTTGAACATAAACCGCATTTTCAACAAATTGTTGTTACTGTACGCTCAATGGGCCCATAACTGTCCAACATTGGTAATGTCATTCTTTTTATTCAGTGATATCACTTTAGCTACTTTCATCGTCTTATAACTGTCATAATGGCTAAAATTGGTCTGTATAAAGTCTTCTTAACATCTGGTCCACTTTAATTTTTCACCGACAGGCGATAATTCAAAATTATCATCACTTTTGTTTATAACTCACAAATTCACTTGTCTGCAGTGAAAACGTTTTGACTTGGAGGTGGTTCGTTAGCGAAAATTGATTGCCTCATGAATTGTGTTGAATGTGTGTTCAATCAAGGAGAACCCTTGGTTGCATTAGTTTTTCATCATGACGTAATTTCCCTTGGATATTTATAACATTCTGATACTCTTTTCGTGTTTAACTTTTCACATAAGGTTTTCAAATTATGCCAAGTTTTTCTTGAATCATGTTGTTTGTTGCTTCTATTTGGATCTGAAAGTACTCAATATTAGCCTTCCTTTCTTTTCTTTTGACTATAAAATGTCAAAGAAGTCTATACCTTTTATATTAATTGGTATCTTTTGTCTTCATGACTGATTATGCAAATTCATCCAAGTTAATTGTTATAAATTTCGCTGTGACTAATTAGGGCCTACGTTTACATCTGTGCCGCAGAAAAAATAACGCTACCGGGGCGCGTTATTTTTTTATGCGGCACAGATTGGGGCTTTTTTTTAAAAGGGGTCTTGATTTACAGACTAATACTGGTCGTGTGCGTACTAGACAGTATAAGTAGTAGAGGTCTGTTTTTAATAGTGTTACATGTAATCCACTACCGCATGGAAAATCATTACATCAACAATTAAAATCAAATTGGAAATCTGAAGAGGAGGCAGCACGTCAATAAGGAGAACATCACAATAATTAGTCAATAAAACTTAACTAACTTAAACGAAGAGGAATGTTATCTAAACACATAGTTCGCGATGGATATACAAACTTCTTCGCAGCGCTAATGCGCTAGCGAACATGACTAGTCTCACGTACGTGCAGACACTATTCAGAAGGGAAAGAACGTACTTCCCATAGGTTTAACACGCGCCATCCGGGCGCGTCTACATAATCGATATTCTTTCTCTCAAAATGTTTTTTTATATTTTCATTCCACAGAACAAATCAAATTAAAGATACGCTTCATATGGCTTTTCGTACCTAAAAATTAACACGAAATGTATGCAATTTGCATTCTGACTATTGAACTAGAATTATTTGTAACAGCCAACAGGTGAATGTGGCTTATTCTTCATGCTTGAGGTGAGACTAACACAACAAAAACTTGAAATGGAAGACCGCGAATCCACGTGTGAAGCGACAACTTCGGTTTCAAAGGTACGTAAAATTGTATTTTGATTTTTGAAGTGTCATTACTCGATTGTTATTGCATACTACCATATCATAATCATGAAACTTAATATGGCACATGTTTTATCTTCTTTCAGGGATGTTTTGTGTTCAAGTCAAAGAAGAGACGAAAGCCTCTTTATCCAGGTAAGTCATCCCATCCCCACCCGTGTATTTATTTGATGTACTGTAAATGAGAGCTGTGCTAGTGCTGCGCGCGCGCGCGCGAGGACCGTGTGGGGTGCAGGATGGGGCCCGGGGGTAAATTGCAGTGCCTCATTAATTTAACAATGAATTAAAAAAATGAACTGACAACTGGTAAATAAATGAACGAGTCAAATTTGTGTTGCTGTTTCACTTTAAATTCAATTTGAATCAGATTCAGAGACAATCTTTACAAACTAAGAGTAAGACTGAAAGTAAGAGTAAGAAAAAGGGGAAAATATATTAAAAGGAAGACAAATTATATCTGTTGTAGATCTATTTGTTGATGGTTATGTCATTAAACTGAGAAGGTCAAGTCTGTCTCATGTGACTAAATTAATTCTGTTTGATCTCATGTGAGTGGCATTTAAAGGCTAAGTCCACTCCAAAAATAATTTGCTTTTAATAGATATAGAAAAACAAGACGAACAGAGCTAATAAAATTGAATAATATTGGATGACTAATAAAAGTAATATCGAATATGGAAGTTTTAAATTTATTTTTTGAAAAATTATGAAAACTTTGGAACTTCAAAAAATCACTACACAAATTGCCAATTTGGTTATCAGTTTGTGACGTCATTGCCTCACTATTTATCAATTGCTTTATATATTTCTATTCCATTAATTTTACCCTAAATTTGATTTCCCTAGGCCTTAATAAATTTGCCCGGCCAGGTTATATGATTTTTATCATATTGCAATCGCGTGCATGACATTTCACAAAATCTTTTATGAACTTTTTAACAATTAATACTATTTTCTGAATATTTTCAATTCATAATCATTGATTTTTATATAAATAGTTTATCAAAATTCAAATTTTCATAATTTGAAGGAAAAAAATACTCTATACATGTATGTGTGCACCACTGAACACAAAACATATTACTCTCAATATAACTTGGACGCTGGTGTGAGGAAATAAGATTTTTAGGGAGAAAATTAGAAATTTTCATTATCAATAATATTGATAATGAAAATTTCCAATTTTCTCCCTAAAAATCTATATTGATAATGAAAATTTCTAATTTTCTCCCTAAAAATCTTATTTCCTCACACCAGCGTCCAAGTTATATTGATAGTAATAAAGAAAACAATTAGTGGATACTGGATAGTAAGGCAATAACGTCACAGACTCATGAGTTAGTTGCCAATTTGTCTTGTGATTTTCAAAGATTTCCATGTCATTTAAAATTCATAACTTTCTTATATGATTATTTATTTGATTTTCAATTGCTCAAACTTTTGTTTGATTGGTTTGTCTGTTTTTTCTGCTTCTATTGAAAGTAACCTGTTTTTGGAGTGGACCTGTCCTTTAAAGTGCCAGTGATAAATTTGGGTTATCTTAAGATGGTCCCGTAATCGTACACAAGATGGCTAAGATTTCTTCCAATATGTTGGATATATTAAAGATAAACTTTAGTACTGGTATGCGATTGCATTGTGAAAGAAAAGGTGTGGAAAGGATCAGAAACAGTTGATCGTGTAGCATGTAAGTATAGGTGTGCACTGCAAGGTTCTGGAGTCATCAAAATCATAATAAATTTGACCGAGTCTTGGTAAAGTAACAAGCACATACACAGAAAGCTATGTATGGGACAACACGCATGGTGTCGGGGTTGGTACTACCTTGATTCCTTGTCTTTCTATGCTCATTACTCAGCCAGTATACATTTTCTTCCAAAATTGTTTGGCACATGTCATTTATTTGTAATCTTGAACATTCAGTGTAAGTTTCGTTTGATTCTGTGAGAAATAATTTTCTTTTTTTTACCAGTACTCAAGTTTATCTTTAAGTGGACTCATAATGTCAAAAAGTTTTGTCAGAGTTTTCAAAGGAGTAAGATTGCTGATTAACAATTACCATGACATTCTTGATTGAGATGGTAAAGACTCAATTGAAGGAATTATTTTGAAAAAAGATATTAGGTCATTGTCATTATATCTCCCCTGAATTAAACACAAAACATAGAAAAAGGGAGATTTATAAGCAAAAACTGTTCGCCCCTCCCCCTCTCTCCCCTCTCCCTCCCTCTCTCTCTCTCTCTCTCCCTCTCTCTCCCTCTCTCTCTCTCTCTCCCTCTCTCTCTCTGTCTCTCTCTCCGTCTCTCTTTCTCCCTATATTTGCTTTTTTCATGACATTGCAACTATGAATGTAGACCTTTAATTTTAGTGTGAATTAAACTCTGTTACTATTAGACAATTCAAAATGATTTCACAATACATAAGTTTAGAATACAATGTCTGTGTGTTTGTTTCACCCATGAATGAATTCAGGTGATTATTTCATACCAGAAAGTAAATCAGAAACCAGTCAGGATTGTAAGCTGAGATACGAGACCGGGGATACCCAATGGGAGCTCATCAATGATGATATTGAGGTAAGATCTGTTGCACATATCTTTTTATTTCATTAGAGCTGTAAAGAAAAGTGAGAACTATCTAGTATTACCAGGAAATACCATGCATTCAAAACAGAACCATACTCGGGCCTGGATAAGAAAATACAGTCAAACCTGTCTATAGCAACTGCCCAAGGTATACACAAAAAGTGGCTTTTGTAAAGCAGGTTTGACTGTACTATCCAAACCATATATATTGGGTTATGGAATGCTGACTCTCTTTCCAAACTTTTACATTGCTCTAGCAATGATTATTGTACCATAATTTAAGCCAATTCAATTTTATTTAATTTTGTACTGTACCCTATGTCAGTTTTCCTATTGTGCCCTAAGTTAATTTCGAAAGCAGAGATCATCTCTATGCTTGAAAACTGTTTTCATTACATTGGTTTAGTCGGTTATATGCTTTCAGTTGAAATGCCTTCTGTTTCAAAAAGTTGTATGTTGTTGTATTCTCATCTATATTATGTATAGCGCCATGAGCGTCCTGCTCGACAGACCTAAGCACTTTATAAGAAGCTTCTACCGTCCTCACCATCATCATTGTTATTATAATTGTTATTATTATTATAATTACTATTATTATAATTATTATTATTATTATTACTATTATTATTTTTATTTTGACTTGGTTTTTGATCTTGCTTACAAATATGGTAGCGTCCACTGATCAGGCCAAAAAAAAAAAATCATTTGGTTGTCCTCGACCGCCCGCTCGTCAGTATCGGGCCGCTCGTATTTTTTTTTTTTTTTAAATATTTTTTTAAATTTTTTTAATTCATTTTTTTTTTTTTTTTAAATATTTTTTTAATTTAATTTTTTATGTGGGAGCAATCTTAAATGCCTAAAATACCATTTTATGCATTTGCAAGGATCAAAATGCGATCCGTTGCCAGTTTGGTATTTTCAGTACACAATTAGGTATTTATTAAACTTGCCATTTTTATTTTTCTATGTCAAAATGCCGTTCATTCTAGTCAGGTTCTGAGCATTCTGTAACTCATTTTAAAGCTCATCTGTTCTAGTTTACAGGAGGGATTAGACCACCCTGCAAGGTCACTGGACAGGTGGTTATCTCATCAAATCAGCTCTCAGTTAATATAAGATAAAAAGGATAATGGGGGACCAATGGTCACCGATTAGGCATTGTTTGCTACATAGAGGGCGCAAGTAGCTATAAGTACCGGTAGTACAATGGAGATTTAAAAGGTGCTGTATTTCAAAGCCCAAAATACTTTCTGTGTTGGTCTTGATATTCCTTGTATATTAAACTAGTCTTTTACCATATTAAAGTGTTTTATAGACTTCGTTTGTTTAAATGCTTGACAATCCCAATGATTTTTTTTTTTATGGAAAAAAAAAATATTACAAAAAAAAAAAAAAAAAAAGACACACAAAACATGAAGTTTAAAAAAAAAAAAAAAAAAAAAAAAAAATCCGCCCGCCCGCCCCTACTCCAAAATAGCAATCGAGGACAACCAAACAATTTTTTTTTTTTGGCCTCATGAACATTTGTCTTCTTGTTTGTAGTCTTTGCAGGCCGATGTCAACAAGACACTGTTTGATGATCTTCCACTGATCATCCACTGATCATGAACACTTGTCTTCTTGTCTGTAGTCTTTGCAGGCCGATGTCAACAAGACGCTGTTTGCTGATTTTCCACTGATCATCCACTGATCATGAACACTTGTCTTCTTGTCTGTAGTCTTTGCAGGCCGATGTCAACAAGACGCTGTTTGATGATCTTCCACTGATCATCCACTGATCATGAACACTTGTCTTCTTGTCTGTAGTCTTTGCAGGCCGATGTCAACAAGACGCTGTTTGATGATCTTCCACTGATCATCCACTGATCATGAACACTTGTCTTCTTGTCTGTAGTCTTTGCAGGCCGATGTCAACAAGACGCTGTTTGATGATCTTCCACTGATCATCCACTGATCATGAACACTTGTCTTCTTGTCTGTAGTCTTTGCAGGCCGATGTCAACAAGACGCTGTTTGCTCATCTTCCACTGATCATCCACTGATCATGAACACTTGTCTTCTTGTCTGTAGTCTGTGCAGGCCGATGTCAACAAGACGCTGTTTGATGATCTTCCACTGATCGTCCACTGATCATGAACACTTGTCTTCTTGTCTGTAGTCTTTGCAGGCCGATGTCAACAAGACGCTGTTTGCTGATCTTCCACTGATCATCCACTGATCATGAACACTTGTCTTCTTGTTTATAGTCTTTGCAGGCCGATGTCAACAAGACGCTGTTTGATGATCTTCCACTGATCATCCACTGATCATGAACACTTTGTCTTCTTGTCTGTAGTCTTTGCAGGCCGATGTCAACAAGACGCTGTTTGCTGATTTTCCACTGATCATCCACTGATCATGAACACTTGTCTTCTTGTCTGTAGTCTTTGCAGGCCGATGTCAACAAGACGCTGTTTGATGATCTTCCACTGATCATCCACTGATCATGAACACTTGTCTTCTTGTCTGTAGTCTTTGCAGGCCGATGTCAACAAGACGCTGTTTGCTGATCTTCCACTGATCATCCACTGATCATGAACACTTGTCTTCTTGTCTGTAATCTTTGCAGGCCGATGTCAACAAGACGCTGTTTGCTGATCTTCCACTGATCATCCACTGATCATGAACACTTGTCTTCTTGTTTATAGTCTTTGCAGGCCGATGTCAACAAGACGCTGTTTGCTGATTTTCCACTGATCATCCACTGATCATGAACACTTGTCTTCTTGTCTGTAGTCTTTGCAGGCCGATGTCAACAAGACGCTGTTTGCTGATCTTCCACTGATCATCCACTGATCATGAACACTTGTCTTCTTGTCTGTAGTCTTTGCAGGCCGATGTCAACAAGACGCTGTTTGATGATCTTCTTAACTTCATCAAGAATGCTCAGGCTGGATTCAGGCTAGACCAGGATCTGGATACAAGTAGGACTAGATCTAGACTGAAAGAGATCCCAACAGCTGCATTTGTGACAGGTTATTAAACCTACATAAATTATTATGTTAAGGACTTGTTAAACAAGTTTCGCATATATCTGAAAATGGGCTCTGTAAATTTGATTTGGTACAAGAGATTAAAGGTGATCTTGATGGGTCAAAGTTGATGTAATGAAAGAGGGTCACTGGTATACTGACTTGCTTACATGCACTTGAATATCAATTCTAGATTGTGATCATTTAAACTCATATTAACTTTAATTTCTGCGATTTTCGGGATGCGGAAATGCTTTTCAAAATGAAGTCAAAGTTTTTAAAATTTTATTCTCGTTGTGGATTGTGATTATCCACTATCTCTTCATGAAGCTGTTGTACTAATGCAGATTTAATGACAATGATATGTTCCTAATCGATGCATGAATGTGAATGTTACTAAAGAGTGATGATCATGTCATCTTTTTAAACCTTCCATATCAATGCAGATCACAAGAAGAATAATAATAATAAAAATAAAAACGTTACTTATAAAGCGCTTACCACCGAAGTCTCTAAGCGCTATACACACAAAATAGACTGATATACAATTACATCTTATACAAAACTAAAAATGCAAATAAACCTACAAATAACAATACATATGGAATACACATCAAAGTGAACAGAGATAATTAATCATCGAACGCAATTTTGAATAAATGTGTCTTGAGACTAGTTTTGAAGACAAATGTATTATTTGATATCTGGATGTGAATGTGGCTAACCAGCAGACTATTGTATCATCGACCTAGAGACAGAAATAATAAAAAAAAAAAAATTCTCACAGAATCAAGCGAAACTTACACTTGAATGTTCAAGATTACAAATAAATGTCATGTGCCAAACAATTTTGGAAGAAAGTGTATACTGGCTGAGTATTGAGCATAGAAAGATAAGGAAATCAAGGTAAAGTAGCCCCGACACCATTTGTGTAGTCCCATATACATCTTTCTGTGTATAGTGCTTGTTACCTTACCAAGACTGGGCCAAATTTATTATGATTTTGATGACTCCAGAACCTTGCAGTACACGCCAATACTTATATGCTACATGATCAACTTTTTCTGATCCATTCCACACCTTTCCTTTCACAATGCAATCGCATGACCAGAACTCAACTTTATCTTTAACATACAGGTGTGAATGTGACGGACCATCATGACGTCTTTACCAAGTTAGCCTCGGTGTTCCAGGAGAGGGTGAGCCCTCATGTGGTCTGTCTCATGTCCAGAGACTGTACAACGTTGAAAGGACTGATGGGGTCGGTGGTGTCACAGCTCATGGGTATTGAGTACATGGTAAGAGAAGCAAGCTACAATAATTCTCATTCATCTCCAAAACTCTTTCTCAGTGGTCAATAGTGATATTACCTTAGACTTTTTGACCAAAAGCGATCAAAAACTGATCCAGAAGCTTCCTCCACTGAGTCCTGTTGTTTTTTCCGTCTTTTAGGTCATTGTCCATTGCTCTCCTCCATATATTGGTCTTCCTCCCTTTCTTTTTCCAGCTGACGGTTTCCAGTTTAGTGTTGATATTAATGTTCATAATAAACATTTAAAATGACATGAGTGCAAGCCTTAATAAAGTAATGATCTTTTCTCTTGAAGCTCTTTAAACACTTTCAACAAAATTCTGTACGTACTAAAGAAGAACAACACAAGTTCTTGTTCTGTTATTCTGAATCGATCATAATATATACATAATTCTTACTTGCAGGCTTCTGAAGATGAAGACACAATGCCAGAAGTGAACATGAAGAAGGTGCCTTGTACTTTCCCTGTTCTACAAGCTTGGTATAAGGATAACGTACAGGTATGTTCTACAAGCTTGGTATAAGGATAATGTACAGGTATGTTCTACAAGCTTGTTATAAGGATAATGTACAGGTATGTTCTACAAGCTTGGTATAAGGATAATGTGCAGGTATGTTCTCCAAGCTTGGTATAAGGATAATGTTCAGGTATGTTCTACAAGCTTGGTATAAGGATAACGTACAGGTATGTTCTACAAGCTTGGTATAAGGATAATGTACAGGTATGTTCTACAAGCTTGTTATAAGGATAATGTACAGGTATGTTCTACAAGCTTGGTATAAGGATAATGTACAGGTATGTTCTACAAGCTTGGTATAAGGATAATGTACAGGTATGTTCTACAAGCTTGGTATAAGGATAATGTGCAGGTATGTTCTCCAAGCTTGGTATAAGGATAATGTTCAGGTATGTTCTACAAGCTTTGTATAAGGATAATGTGCAGGTATGTTCTCCAAGCTTGGTATAAGGATAATGTACAGGTATGTTCTACAAGCTTGGTATAAGGACAATGTACAGGTATGTTCTACAAGCTTGGTATAAGGATAATGTACAGGTATGTTCTACAAGCTTGGTATAAGGATAATGTTCAGGTATGTTCTACAAGCTTGGTATAAGGATAATGTACAGGTATGTTCTACAAGCTTTGTATAAGGATAATGTACAGGTATGTTCTACAAGCTTGGTATAAGGATAATGTTCAGGTATGTTCTACAAGCTTGGTATAAGGATAATGTACAGGTATGTTCTACAAGCTTTGTATAAGGACAATGTACAGGTATGTTCTACAAGCTTGGTATAAGGATAATGTACAGGTATGTTCTACAAGCTTGGTATAAGGACAATGTACAGGTATGTTCTACAAGCTTGGTATAAGGACAATGTACAGGTATGTTCTACAAGCTTGGTATAAGGACAATGTACAGGTATGTTCTACAAGCTTGGTATAAGGACAATGTACAGGTATGTTCTACAAGCTTGGTATAAGGATAATGTTCAGGTATGTTCTACAAGCTTTGTATAAGGACAATGTACAGGTATGTTCTACAAGCTTGGTATAAGGACAATGTACAGGTATGTTCTACAAGCTTGGTATAAGGACAATGTACAGGTATGTTCTACAAGCTTGGTATAAGGATAATGTTCAGGTATGTTCTACAAGCTTGGTATAAGGACAATGTACAGGTATGTTCTACAAGCTTGGTATAAGGATAATGTACAGGTATGATATAGTCTTGTATTTATTGCGATTCCTTTAAATTCCTATGATTTGTGGTTTGGGTGGTTTGCTTGTCATTAGGAGCCTTGTAAAATGTTCCAGATGCTGAGCAGATTGCATGAAAATTCTGCTCACAGTTTGCTTTGTTCATATTTAAAATATTACATTTATACCTATATTCCAGATATCATATGTACAAGTTAGATTTTGAGTACAGATAAAATACAAAACATTTCATAACAATGGTTGACAAGGATTACAGCATTTGTGCAGTAAATTTGTTTTAAAAATTGTGTGATATGCTATTATGATCATAGTAAGATGGTATTTGGAATTGAGTTTTAGTCTTGATTTTTTCTCTTTTCTCCAAACTTCAGAAGAGGAAATTGCCCGGCAGCACAGCAACGTTTAAATCGCCCCGTCGATCAAGGAAGCGCAGATCAATGAGTGGGCCAGTCTCTTACCCAGAGTGTCCTCCTATCATCATCGTCCTGGAAGACTTTGAAGGTTTCAAGGCCGTGGTCATCCAGGACTTCATCCACATCTGCAGGTATGTTCAAGTAAGATTGATTTCAGCCGCTGTTAAATTGCTTCAAGCGAAAGACGAGGCGTTGTGGCATGCGCCTGTAATCCAGCTAACAATGGAAGTAACAAACTGATTTCAGGCGCTGTTAAAATTGCTTCTAGCGAAAGACGAGGCGTTGTGGCATGCGCGTGTAATCCAGCTAACAATGGAATTTACAAACTGATTCAGCCGAGGACGCAGTTTCAAAACTGAGTCACGTCTTACGGATGGTGACGTTTAAATAATCATATCTGATTGATACACTTCTGTAAAAACCCAATGCACACACACACGAGATGTAGATGAACAAATTTATTTGAAAAGAAAAATATATTAGCATTATTTAAAAATCACTTTCTGTGTGAGATTGAAATTCAATGTTAATTTTGTTAATGCCGTATCTTGACTTGTTTGTTACCAATAACCGATTAAATACAATTATCTGTGTTCTTGAATACTCATGTTGGGGAGCCTATTCTTAGAAGTACTGTATATGTACATTTGTTAAGATTCTATTTACCCTTTTCATATGCAGAATACAAAATTTGTATAGAATCTTTCAGTTCTTGTAATAATTGAAAATGAAATGATTTGACCCTTGACAGTCAGTATTTGGAGAAGCTCCCTCTGGTGTTGACCTTTGGAATAGCTACATCAGTGACAGTGATCCATCGTCTATTACCTCAGTCTGTTTCATCATGTCTCAGTATTGAGAAGTTCCAAGCTCAGCCTTCTTCTATCTACCTCTCAAAAGTTATTGATAAGGTGAGAACTTATATCAGTTTGTTTGGTAGTTTTGCGTTTATTTAGTTATTAAATAAGAAGATCAATAAAGTGTCCTTCAAAAGAGTTGATTTGTTCTTAGTTAGTTTGCCAGCCAGATTTTGAGAAAGAAGCAAAATCACAGTAGAAAGTACATTCTGATATTTGTTGTAATTTAGTGATTAGCTGCTGATAGATAGATTGGTGTTGATGTATCATGATATGAAATTCAGAAAAATCTGCACGTTGATTGCAACTTATTGCAGGGATTTCTCTTTAAATAGATCTATTTGTAATCACTGATTTAATGATTTGTAAAAACGGTCAGGGATTTCAGATTGAGCCATTGGATTAATTTGATATAAATCATGTTTAAAATATAGGTGGGGGGGGGGGGGGAGGGGGGTAGAATTGCCAACCTTGTCTGCTAGCCGTAAAATGTCAGGTTATTTTGGTCCTCTTTCAGACGGGGTTGTATTCCAACCCACCTCCCCACCCCATGAAATGACATGATAACAAAACAGCTATTTTGCCCACGTTGACTTCTCTTGTATTGTCTGGGTTATGTTGGTACGTGTATGTCTTTGATATTACAGAGATGCCAACCAGTACAATTAAATCGTATTCAGTACGATAATAAGAGTGTAATACGATCTTAAAATCTAAAAACATGATTTTTTGTTTTTTTGTTTTTGTATGCCTCCGTTACGAAGTAGCCGGAGGCATTATGTTTTCGGGTTGTCCGTCCGTCCGTCTGTACGTACGTACGTACGTCCCGTTCTCGTGATCGCATTATCTCAAGAACCGACTGATGGATTCCTACCAAACTTTGGTCATGTATGTATCTCACAGAGCCAATGAACTGATTAGATTTTGGATTCACGAGATCCAAGGTCAAAGGTCACAGGGCTCATTATGTATGCGAAAATGGCTCGTGATCGCGTTATCTCAAGAACCGATTGATGGATTCCTGCCAAACTTAAGTCATGTATGTATCTTGCAGAGCCAATGAACTGATTAGATTTTGGAGTCACGAGATCCAAGGTCAAAGGTCACAGGGCTCATTATGTATGCGAAAATGGCTCGTGATCGCGTTATCTCAAGAACCGATTGATGGATTCCTGCCAAACTTAAGTCATGTATGTATCTTGCAAAGCCAATGAACTGATTAGATTTTGGGGTCACAAGGTCGAAGGTCAAAGGTCACAGGGCTCATGATGTATGCAAAAATAGCTTGTGATCGCATTATCTCAAGAACCGATTGATGGATTCCTGCCAAACTCAGGTCATGTATGTATCTTGCAGAGCCAATGAAATAATTCGATTTTGGGGTCACCAGGTCAAAGGTCACAGGGCTCTTTATGTATCCAAAAATAGCTTGTGATTGCATTATCATAAGAACCAAATAGACAGATTACTATCAAACTCAAGTCATGTATGTATCTTGCAGAGCCAATGAACTGATTAGATTTTGGGGTCAAAGGTCACATAGCTCACTATGTATGCCTATAAATAGGTTGTGCATGCATTATCATTAAAACCGACGGATGGATTACAATCAAACTTGAATTTAAAAATTGTTTCTGTTTTGGTTTGTAAAATTGCTCTATGGCGGAGGCATCATTTTTGACTGCGTGCAGTCAAAGTTCCATCTAGTTTGTTGTTGGTTTAAACCCATAAAAACAGCAGAATCGCATAGAAACATGGACAAGTAAACCCTCGCAACCCCAACAAAAACTTTGCTTTACAATTTTCTCATTAAATTTTAATGAAAGAGCCAACATTTTCTGAAATTTTACGGGGCCGACGGGCTAGTGGTAGTGTCGAGTTTTCGTGAAAATCTTATTTTTCTCTCCAAAATCAGACTTTTTAGGTTACTCTGTCTGTTTTTTCGTGTCAAGAGGTTGGTATCTCTGATATTACAGCTAAAATCCTCCTTTTGATTTGTTTATTCCCTTTAGGTGTTGTTGACAGCCAAGCATCCGCTCAAGCTGGGGTCAAAGGTCTTCCAGCTATTACTAGATCTCTTTCTCTACCATGATTTCTCTGTCATGAACTTTGTACAAGGGTTACAGGTCAGTATACTGAAAGGTCACATTAAGGTCATGAACTTTGTACAAGGGTTACAGGTCAGTATACTGAAAGGTCACATTAAGGTCATGAACTTTGTACAAGGGTTACAGGTCAGTATACTGAAAGGTCACATTAAGGTCATGAACTTTGTACAACGGTTACAGGTCAGTATACTGAAAGGTCACATTAAGGTCATGAACTTTGTACAAGGGTTACAGGTCCGTATACTGAAAGGTCACATTAAGGTCATGAACTTTGTACAAGGGTTACAGGTCAGTATACTGAAAGGTCACATTAAGGTCATGAACTTTGTACAAGGGTTACAGGTCAGTATACTGAAAGGTCACATTAAGGTCAAACATTGAGATGAAGTGTAGTTCATTTGCAAAGGTATCCTACTTTTAAAGAATCCAACACTTTTTTTTGTGGACAAATTGGGTCAAAAATTGAACAGTAGCACAATTTGTGTCCCCTAAACATACACCTTTTTTCAATGGATTTGTACAGTGCGTCCCAGAAAAAACGAAACCGAGAAGTATCAATGTTCTATCATAACTTAATCACAACTATAATTAATGAATGATACATATTTGAAAAGCTTGGAGTCTCTTCTTTCATGTGATGCTACTCAGATGATGCATTTTTCACGCATGAGTGATTAAAAGCAATTTGAAGGAAGGAAACCAAAAAGACATTTGGCGGGCGGTATCTGAATTTCGAAGAAAAATTCACATTTCTAGAAAGTTGAATTTCTGCCCTTTCATATGACACCATCAACTGAAAGAAGAGACTCTAAAGCTTTCCAAATATGTATCATTCATTAATTATGGTTGTTATTAAGTTATGATAAAACATCAATACTTCTCGGTTTCGTTTTTTCTGGGACGCACTGTATAATTGTTTAAGTGAATTCCATGATTGTCCATTTTTTCTGAAGAGAACGAAATCCATTTTATTCTTCATTGTTGAGAAGTTGTATTTTCCACTTTTACATGAACTGGATTTTCTTGCTTCATGTCTTTGGATAGGAACATGTAAGCACCTTTAAATGTCCGAAGGCAAATTTTATGTATTTTTTACATGACAATAAATTATCTTGAATCTTGAACACAAATATAAAGTTGTTTTTTTTGGTCATTCATATTTTATATTTTCATATGCTAATTATAGATTTTATTTCTTCCTTTACTTATGAATGAGCATCACATACAGAGGAACATGCTGAATTACATTTCTTTTGTTGACCTCAATCTCAGTATGCAGTGTTAGATCACTACTTCTCCCAGCCACTCAGCATCTTATGCTGTCGCTATGGAGATGCAATCAACAGAACTCGTAACCTGTCACATGACCAGCTAGAGCTCTTCAGACAAGCTTCTTCATTCAGGAGGTAATAGGACAAATGGGGATACTCTCTCTTCAGATTGATAAAGAAATATTAAAAAACACACTTTCAAAGTAAAAAAAAAAGGGGTTGATCACCATTGCTGACATGATACAGTTTCTTGGCCCTGAAGTATAAAGTGTGTATTTCATTCATATAAGATAGATTGCTACCCTGCAGTTATAGGCTAATTCACGAACCATCAACATGGTCACCTTTTCTACTGTTTATACATCTGTATTTTTCTATATTTTTGTTATGGTATTGTCAAAATTGAGTTATTTTTCTCCTTTATAGAAAGACAACTTTTCTATATGGGCCACATTTATGTGTTTCCTCTCGAAACAATGCTTGAAAAATATGAAAGGAAGCTGTGTATAAAGACATCCTGCCTGTAAAGACCACTTACTGTTTCTTCCTTGGATGGTTTTCTTTCCATACAGGTTTCACTGTAATATTTGTTTTTATGAATAATCAAGAAATTTTATGATCCTCTAATCTTAATTTTTGTGCAGATATGTTGATGGTCGGCCTGCTAGTGATCAGAGAGCTCTTCTCCTAGATGATAAACACATGAAGGTAAGGTTCATCCAGGCAGTAGCTAATATAATGTTTGGTCTTAGAAGATCAACACATGAAGGTAAGGTTCAAATTTATTAGATTATTTGCAAGACTAACAATTGATTTAAACTGTTTAGGTTCATGTACAGTACCTGTTAAACCAAGTGTTTGATTGAAGGTACATGTACATCTTATATTCAGATTGAATAGTGTAGACATACAGTTCAACTAAAGGATGTTTTTGATAATTGTAAGACATAAAACTTAAAGATTATAAATAGAGTTGAATGGTGCGTTTGTTGTCGGTTTTCACATGTTTCGTTTTTCAGTTGAGATATGTAATTTTAGGAATTGATAAGAGATAAATGAAGTGAGAAGCAAAAAAAGATATATAATAAAAGCCATAGAGTTTGAGGTGATCAGGTTAAAGGTAAAGATCAGTTTTGGAAACACCCACCTCTCAAAAAATGAAATGGAAGCTCTTATTACCAATCATGTGAAAGAATATGTTTTGACTAATGAGTGATCATACAAATCTTGCCAAAAAACCGCCTACTAATTGATATATTTGGTAAATTATTATATCTATTTGGACCTGATAGATATAACTTCGTGTAGTCCCCGTATACATCTTTCTGTGTACAGTGCTTGTAACTTTACCAAGACCGGGCCAAATTTCTTATCATTTTGATGATTAAAGAACCTTGCAGTACACACCAATACTTATATGCTAGATGATCAACCTTTTCTGATTGATTCCACAACGTTTCTTTCACAATGCAATCGCATGACCAGAACTGGTCTATACCTTTAAAAGTGAAAGAGAGAGAGAGAGCTGATATCCAGGCTGATAGCAAGAAGAAATGATATAATTGTCTATCTCTTCTCTGCCCTTTAGAAAACCCTTCAAGAGCTTCTGAAACAGATGAATGAGTACCATAAAGCCTTCTTTCCTGTCTTGGAATGTCTTCACATCCTATCCGAGGGACTGCCTTATCATCCTCTAGGCAAGCAGATGAGAGAGCTGTTTGCCATGGCAACAGAGGGAGATATATTTGCAACGGAAGCATATCAAGAGGCCTTCAAGTTCATGAAGTGAGTAGGGCAAACGATCAAAGTTCACTTTTTATCATTTATATCAGGGATGGGAGGGAATAATTATTAATACCATTATGTGATAGAAATATTCTGATTTTTTCTCATGGCAGTTTGTGGAGCTTCTTTACATGATGTGTCTGCATTTCATCTGCACATTTACAGTATCTTTGTTTATATTGTATCAAGAAAATTAAATGTACCAGTAGATTGATTATAAAGTGTTTGAATTGTAGTACCATGGCATGCCTTTGAATTCTTCGGAATTATTTATTAAGAACTCCTTTATACCTCTTTATTGTTTGTTCTTTTGAGATGAACTGCAAATGTATGCCATGGCATATATAGTGAACAAATCAACGATATTGGCAAAACAGTTTGCGCATGAATTTATTGTCCACAAACATACTGCAAACTATAAACATGAAAGAAAACCTCACGTCTTACTAACTCCCAGCTCTATACACATTTGTAATCCATTTATCAGAATGCTAGCTCGAGATGAATTGATTAAAAAGATGACGATGTGTGAAGAAAGCCTCTCACGGTGCGAGGGATTACAAGAGGCAAGGTTTCAGCTGGAGACTCTACAAGCAAAGATGGAAACCCTTGGAGGTACGGTCTTCAAAGATTCTTGAAATAAGCAGGATGAAATACTATTCCCTGAAATAGCGCTTCACAAACTTGACTTGAATTGCAGTTAAGAAGTTAAGAATGTAAAAGCAAAGATGGCAATACTAGGAGCTATTCAAGACTTTAAATAGAAAATAAGATATTAGATGGGGCAGGAATCTGCATGAAAGAGCATCTGAGAGCATCTCTGTATAGATTTGAACTTGATTTGCAATCAAGAAGTTTAAGAGTTGTAATCTTCACTTGGTGTATATCTTAGAGATGGGTTTTTATTAGCAGTAGTCTAGATCTTGACCGAGTAGTATGTGAGTATGTGGTAGGATATACTCCTCAGAATATTCTGTGCACAGATAATAGCCACAGGAGCTGAATCTAGGATTAAAGTTACCCGAAAGAACAGAGATATGAGCGCCATGAGCGCCGAAAGGTGGATCTGTGCGCTCTACAAGTAGCCACTATTATTATTATTAGATATGTTCTTTGCGATTGGAATACGAGAATGGAATGTTATTTTTATCAGTTAATTTCTGTAATCTTGACAATGCTAAATGTACTTCATTTCCAATCCAAACAGATACCTGCAACCAGCCTGTTGAGATAGACAGCACGGAGGATGATGAAGAGGAGGTTGACACAGAGGGCAGCAAACAGAACGAACATGACACAGAAGAAACTAACCTGAGAGGGAGACGAGAGAAGACGACGCTTCATTCCCTACAGCAGATGTTGATGAGTAATGCTAAGAAGAAGAGGAGGATGACCCCATATGAAATACTCCGCAATGAAATACTAGACTTCTTTGATGCATTATTCAGGTAGGATTGGAGTAATATTTCTAATCCAAGTCAGTATTAGTATTAGGTATAGCACATTATCCTTGTTGTTACAAAGGGCTTCTTTATTGCTTTACAAGTAGGATTTTGTCCGTTTAGGTATAATGTACTTCAAATTGACCAGTTGAGTCTTTACTATTTTTGATCCATTTATTTCTAATGCTGTGTGTAATCAGTGATATCATTGGCCCAAAATCAACAAAATGACCGATTACTGTCATCGCCCAAACTCAATACAGGAAACACCCGATTCCATATGCATGCATGAGGTTCATGTTAATGATTTGACAAACAGTATAGATACCATGAGAAACATGCCTGTAGTACAGAGAAGCTCGGGTGTGAAGAGCTTTTATAAAACAACGCTTCAGAAATTATTTATTTTGGTGGAAAATTGATATTTAGAATATCTGATACCTTGCTGTTTCATTAGAACTTAGTGCGTGAAAGCTATGTGGTGCCGAATAAAAGATTGTGCTACCCTTTAGTGTATAATATACTTCTTTCCTGTGTATTTGTTTTTGTTCAAAGGGAGTATCTACCATGTCCAAAGAACCTACCTCTGCATGAAGTCTTCTACTATAATAATGTATCCGAGATCAGACAGCGTCTCAATGCACCACCAAGGGCAGCAATCCAAACCGCTCTTAGTAACCCTAACTACTACCTCCAGGTAAATCTAGAGTAGACTTTTCTATTTTTTTCATTGTAGAAAAGGGATGTATCACAAATATGAAAGATTTTGCACCAAAATTTGCATAGTGTAAAATAGAAATGTAAAAACGGAGGATATTATTGTGGCAGAAGGATATGTGCAAGAAAACAGCATCATATATTATTATTTTCCCCCCAACTTTAATGGCAAGATAAGAGATTGAGGATCACTCAATTGTACAATTCAGACTAGCTTACATTAGTCAATTTGGTTGCAAGCTATCATTTATTAACACATTCTTGGAAAGCTTGAGTACTTGAGCAACTTATTATGGAATAATAGTAATAAATGTTTTGTACTGAAGAGGAAAACATGCTTTATAAATCCAATTATTGTCCTTATGACACATTTGTTTCAAAATGTTCAGACTATCTAGATGAATTCCTCTGACTAGAGATGAGTGATTGGTATACACTGACCACATCTTTTGTAACTATCATATGACTGTATACAGAATCCTGATTGTGAGACATTAGAAGAAGGGATCACCAGCTCACTTCCTGATGTGTGTATTGTATACAAGCTTCATCTTGAATGTGGAAGGCTCATTAATATCTATGATTGGCTCCAGGTATGAACAAAAAATGTATGTGAATAAATAAATAAATGAAAAATGAATAACATCACAATAAATACGGGTAAACTTTAGGTATCAATTATTAATGGCAAATGGGGTGAAAACTGTTTGCATCAAAGGCCCTGATGAATAGTCACTTTTACATGTATGTGTTGTAAGATACAAAAATGTGCAGTGCACTTGTTTTGCTTTTATTTTTATCTTTTATTTTGCTTTAGCATTTTCCTTTTTTTCTTGGAAGGGGGTGTCTGTGGTTATGATGGTTTACAGCATTTTGTGTGGATTAGCCTCAAGAGTTAATAATAATAATAATAATATTCATTTGTAAGCGCAATAACTATGTGGATATATTCTACTGCGCTGCAAGAGCTCGTAAATGCTGTGCTATATATACTATATGAACAAGTGAGTTTTCAGTTTTTATTTAAAATTATCTAGTGATGGGGCTTTCCTTATTTCTAGTGGTAATTTATTCCATAATCTAGGGGCAGCACAGAGAAATGACCGGTCCCCGAGTTCTAATATTTCAGTTGTCTTCTTAAAAGAAAATTTTGAAAAGAAAAAACTCTTGTCCATTAGAGAACTTACATCAACCGGGTATCACAATTTTGGAGCCTTTCTTTCAGATTTCATTTTTAGCAAACTTTATATTATGCCTCAAATTGATCTTGTTTTCACAATGTTTCTTATCATTTGTCAGGCATTTATGACTGTGATCCAGGGAGAGAGTGAGACAGACAATGCAGATACAGCTAAGAAACCTGATCCAGTATTACAGTATCCTTACAAAGCTTGTTATCTTGTGAGAGCACAAGGGCGTTAACTCAGACATAATTTGGGGATCTTTTGTATCATTGTCTCACTGGTGCTGGTATAAATGCTGATAATCAGGGGATATTTGTCAATTTTGAGAGGAGTACCAATTGAATTGTGGACGAAAAGTCAGATTTTGTTGCTGTTGTTGTTGTTGTTTTTGCTGTCTTGGCAGATCTTAGCGAGTAATTGATTTATGTTAACTATTTTCTACTTCAAATTGAAAAGATATGTGTGTTTATGACATTTAACATTCTTACATGTACTAAAATTTGAACTGTACCAAGTTTTTGTCCTTTTTCCTTGACCAATATCATCTCTCAGAGCACGTTTCATTCGAGCTGTCTCTGAGCTTCAGTTTCTAGGGTTCATCAAACCTACTAGAAGAAAGACAGATCATGTTGCTAGGCTCACATGGGGTGGTTGCTAAGACAACGACTACTATCGTCTCTCAGAGCACGTTTCATCCGAGCTGTCTCTGAACTTCAGTTTCTAGGGTTCATCAAACCTACTAGAAGGAAAACAGATCATGTTGCTAGGCTCACATGGGGTGGTTGCTAAGACAACGACTACTATCATCTCTCAGAGCATGTTTCATCCGAGCTGTCTCTGAGCTTCAGTTTCTAGGGTTCATCAAACCTACTAGAAGGAAGACAGATCAGGAGTTAGCTTTTTTTAGGCTATTCAGTCTGATTTTTGTGTCAAGAGATTGGCATCTCTGGATTAATGTGACTGCAAAAAACTTATATTGGAATCTTGGACATTGATGAAGTGGAAAGTGTTATGTTAAATTCATTTGCACATGATCGAATCACTCTCTTCATTTAAATGATGGTACACACCATTGTCAAAGCATGTAATTTGATGTAAATCATATCAGTCTTACTGTAAAATTATATGAGTTTGCAATGCTATCCATTGTGGGGCGCTAACGAGATGGTGTAACCGTTTTTTTAAATTATCTTGTTCTATTCAATTCACAACAATTGTGATTCCGTTATAGAAATAAATAATGCATATATAGAGCTGAACTTTTACAATTGTATTCTACATTTAACATTGAAAATCTTGAGATACTTACTGTTTAAAGTTTTCCATATTAAATCAATTAAGTAAAATAAATAGTAGATAGAAAGGTACAGTAAATTGATTCATGTCAGTTTGTTATACTTTGACATTATCGTGGAAAAGAGTACAGGATTTTATAAAGTAGGCTGAAAATATGTTTAGTTAAACAAACAGTTCATTCAAAAGATGAATTGTACATGTATATGGTAAAGTAGCAAAACATATTGTAATTATTATTTTATTTTTGTTCAAAAGTTGAATAAGTATAATTGAAAGCTTTATAAAAATCCTGTATGATCTTATCATCTGAATAGGTAAATGTGTCTGATTGAATAGAACTCAAAGATTTGAACCTTTTGGAAACATTGAATCTAATGGACTATATGTATACTTCCACTTCTATAAGGTCAAAGTAATTTGTTCATGAGAAAAATGTAATGCAGTCATTATGTATCCTCCATCAATAGGGAATTTCCTTTCACAGCATAGAGAATATTTGTCAATATGTCTACCATGAAAGTAATATAATATTGTTGATGTCAATGACAGAGTTTCAACTGTCCCCATCCTTTAATTATGTAAAAAGTTTATGGTGCCCTTAATTTCCCTATCCACCTAGATAATTCTATGTAAAGGGAGTAATAATTTAATTTTGTAAGTATCGGTTTGTACATGCAAAAAAAAGTATACATGAAATATAATTTGTGAAAATATCACAACTCATTTGTTTTGTTTTTGTCATCTAGGCTGTTAGAAACCATCCTTATTCTCTGTATTTCAAGCTATCTCTACTTTTGTTTTTACATTCTTGTACATTTTTTCATAAATAATTGTTCCTTACCTTTCTCTCATTTGCATTAATTCTTTTTCTTTTCTCTCTTCTATTTTCTTCTCTTCCATCCTCCATTTTTCAATCTTCCATATTACCGTCTCTCACTATCTGTTTTTATTGCCCAAATCTGTTTTTAGAAATATTTGTTTTTTCTTCATTTTCCGAAAGAGCATACAAAATAATGTCCAAATGTCGAAAACCTATTGAACATGTTAAAGATACTATGTCCCATTTGCAGGCCAAAAAAATGAGAAAGTTAAATTCCAACTGCATTTGAAAGATAATACTAATTTAGAACTTCCCTAAAAAAGGTGGGGCTTGAAAATGTCTTCAAGTGGGAAAATAACGACTATTAGTTGTCAAATCGACTTTAGGGCTATAGAGCCCAAAAGTAATAGTCTTGATTTTCAGACAATTGTACCGAATGGTCATACGTTTTATGCTGCGCAAAGATTCAATCAGTTTAATCTTGGCCATCACAAGAAGTGGGTTATTGATGTAGACAAATGCTCATGTACCCTTTACAACTCTTTTCATGTATGTTATTACAAAAGAAGAAAAAAGCCAGTCAGTCACTCAATAGTGTCTTGACAGTGAAGTCTAGCAAGTAAACAGGTTTCCTTGCATAATTTGAATATGAGGACACTGCTAATGTTTAAATTTCACAGATAGGACATACATGACATATTCATAATTCCTGCAAAGTTCTACAGAATTTGAGGTTGGCTGCAAAAGGGACATAGTACCTTTAAGTATTGGCTGAGATATGACCATTTTTCGGAAAATGAAGAAAAAATTGAGAAATTCTAAAAATTGATTTTTTTTTAAAATGACGTCACACTTCATCACTCTATACTCCTGCCTAGCCTCTTCCCGCTCTCTTCTCTCTCATCATCCTCCAAGTATCTCTTTTATTTCTTCTCCTTGTTTTTCCTGTCCTATATATTCTCAATCTCAACTTTTCCTTCTTTCTTCTTCTATACCTCATTCTGTAAACCCAGTCCACTACTCACTACCCATCCTCTTCATTCTCCAACACTTCTCATTATTTCTGTCATCTCCCTTTTTTTTCTTCCAACGCTCTTTTATTCCCTCCTTATGTATGCAGTCCTTCCATTATCATATTCCATTCCCTGTTTTGTACATCTCTCCATTTATATATCTCTATCTCTCTCTCCTTCCCTCTCTCCCTCATATTCTCTGTCTCGTTCACTCTCCTCTACATCCCCTGTCTACTCCTTCTACCCCTTCCTCCTCATCCCTCATTCTCTACATGTATTCAATTACACTTGACCAGGTATAAAATATCAAATAAGCCAGTGCTTGATGACACTCCCCCCCCCCCCCCTAAATAAAAAAACAAAACATGTCTAGCATCCTGCCTTTTTGGAAAAATAGGAAGGAGGAGGCCCTTTTTTGTTTTAAAGGAGGCGGCCCCCAAAAAGGAAGCGAGCAGGGATGCTAAACATGAATATTTTTGTAATGGCTTCGTACAATAACAAACAAAACAACATTTTACACAGGAACTGCAAAAAGTTGCATGGAAATGAAATTTTTAATGTAGAAAAGAAATTGAACTGACATCCATCATTACATAACAAAAGAGAACATATTCATGATGATGAACAAGGACAACCTGAAAGAAGAAAGTAACGTCACAAGTCTGAGTATACAGATTGTATGGCAGCAACTACAATCAATGTAAGTAAAGAGAACAATCAACATCTGTAGAAATGAAATGGTGCTAACTAGTTTTGTCTGCATCAATGTGGCATTTTCATGTCTTTTATATAGAGGGGTCGGTGACACAAAGACATAACTCCATTTTGAGAAAAGGAGGTTTCTGTGTCACTGAGCACTTGGGCCTTGAGGAGTTACGTCTATGTTTCACTAGCCATCGACTTCAATGGGGTGTTGGGTGGAGTTAAGTCTTTGTGTTTCCTGGAAAGCCCACATTTTTCTGAACATTTTGATATCAAATACTAATTTTGGCAAAATATGGAGTTACGTCGTTGTGTCATTGAACCCTGTATGTTCTACATGGACAGACATCCACCTTCAGAACAAATGTATGCATTCTGACTCACTACATGTACTGAAATATGTCTTTAATAGCCAGCCGACACCGGACCGGCAGCAGACGGAACACACAAAATGATGTTACTCTCAAGGTTCAGGAATCGGTCAGTGTGGAGTCGATGTGAAGTCCGCAGTGTGACTGATGTATGTCACTACATCACGAGACGTATCCCCAGCCCCCCTACTCCGGGGACGGAGGGACCGCATTTATGTTCCCAAAATGTCCGGTAAAGGGTTACTTTTCACGCAGCAAAGTCCGGCTCGTAGTACACAAACAATATCAGCAAAAAAATCAGCCCTTATTGTCTTTATACACCAGACTTAGGGGGGTGTTTTCAAAAGGGGGGAGGGGGGGGGGGGGGGAACATGCATACCCGTACCCTAAATAACACTGAGTGGGGGGGGGGGGGGGGGGACGTATCACAAAAATGATTACCGGGTACGTGCAATTTTAGGAGAAGCGTCCTCATGACTGACCGGACCCCCATCCCCTGGTCCCTCAAACAAACCCATCATATAGAAGAGATTACTGGTTTATCACAGCACTAGTATCAATGGACAAGGAATCTACAACCATCACAGAGAAAATGAATGACAACATTGCATTTCACAAACCTCATGTTTGTTTGTATGCATGCTTGCAAATTATGAAAGTGCTTCCTTTAATGTTTCATGTCGACTTCATAAAAGCAGTCCGAATATGCATATAATATTAAAGAGGGAGGTAGTAAATGTAACTTTTAGCAATATAAATCAAATTCTTTTAAATGGGCCATACTTGTTCAGTTTGTGAGACACTTCTTTCTGCACACTGCAGAAAATTGGATACTTTGAAGGAGTAAAAATAATGGACCTCTTGCGGTGGCCATTTTGAATACTTCTGGAATATTAAAGTAGCATTAACCCTACTCCTTATTCCTGAAACATTCACACATTTGGTTTACGATACTTGATGAATTCTTTAACTGTTGCATACATGAATCTTCTGAGTGATATCAAAGTCCTCATTTAGTGAAATAAGATGTACAAAAGTCCAACATGGATATATTCTTTTAGTAACAAGCTGCATGTTTAATCAACCTTTGATTCACTCTTAAAATGTTGAATGTTGTATATGTTTGTGACGTGGATGAGCTTGAAAATCACCATCAGTTGAATTTGGCATTAGAGAAGTCCATTTCAGGGTGCTGCTTCATAAATCTAAAACAAAGAGAGAGATTATGTGGAAGTATTTAGAAGGGCTGCAGAATAAAACATTTTGCTACTAAAGATAAATTAAACATTCATAGCTAAAGTTGTTGCCTTGAATCGCAGTAGAAAACAGAAAAATCACACTTAGGTTTGTTGGCGGATGTAGACAATTATCCCCATTTATGTCCAACTCATGCACCAGCTCTCTTTTTGTTATGGTCATAAAATGACCTCCCCAAAACCAAAACACAACTAGACGGAACTTCGACTGTGTGCAGTCGAAAATGATGCCTCCGCCATTGAGCGATTTTACAAATCAAAACGGAAGCAACTTTTAATATTCAAGTTTGATTGTAATCCATCAACATCCCAGAATATCGTGATTACAAGCTATTTTTCATATAATAATAATAATAATAATAATAGTGGGTTCTTGTATAGCGCTCATGTCTGTCATACATGACACTCCTGCAAGATAAATACATATCATGAGTCTGATAGTAATCCATCTGTTGGTTCTAATAAAAGTGTGATCACGAGCTGATTTTGCATACATAATGAGCCCTGTGACCCCAAAATCTATATAGTTCATTGGCTCTGCAAGATACATACATGACCCAAGTTTGGCGGTAATCCATCAATCAACTCTTGAGATAACGTGATCACCAGAACGGGACAAACAGATGTACGGACGGACAACCAGAAAACATAATGCCTCCAGCTACTTTGTAGCGAGGCACAAAAAAGAGAATTCCTATCTTTAGGGTTATCAGAATTCACAAGTAGGTCTGAAAATCTTTTAAAATGATCTACTTTGTATATAATAAGCATGAAATGTGGCAAGAAATACATTGCTAACACCTAAATTTAGGCTTTTGCCTGAAAACTGCCATCCCTGTATCTTAAAGAGGTATTTTTCCTTTTGAAAAGAGAGAGAGTGAAAGAGGGAGGGGGAAAGAAAGAGAGAGCGAGCGAGAGAGAGAGAGAGAGAGGGGGAAACTTACTTGTCGAGTATGTCTTGTTTCTTCTGATCTTCTGATGATGGTAATCCCATAGCTTTCTGTCTTTGATCGTACATCATCTTCTCTACCATGCCACGAGTCTCTCCTTCCAAGTCTGACAGCTAGAATCACAAAAAACACCATTTATTAATATTAAAAAACTTAGTAAAAATGTCTTATCTAGATATAGATATTCTTTCCTATTTATATGTATCCTCGATCATTGTAAACACATACATTTCAGCTTTTTAGCTGCAGCATGTGCATCATTGTACTCTATGTTTTTCGAAATAAAACCTTGAATTGAATGATTGATCTAAAGAATAAATGAGATAAATTTTGCTATACCATTATATACCCTACTGAAAAGCCTTTCACTTTGCAGAAAAAGGCATTCATAAATTGCAAAAATTACTCCATGACATGTTATTTCACAAATCTGAACCGCTCACAAAATTCACAAAAGCTTGATGCATACAAAAGATTCTGGTTCCACAGTTTTTTCAGAGTGAGGGCGGAACGTGAATTGCTAGCATCCAAACATTACTACAACTTTGTCATAAATGAAAGAAATTAAAGCTTTGAAATAAATGACAAGGTAAGAAATTGCGATAAGATGGACAAAGTCCTGGGGGGTGTTTCACAAAGATTCAAAGTCGAACTTAACTCTAAGTTGGACTTAAATATTATGGAGAGTCATTTGTAGCCTTATTTTGAAATATATTCAAAAGCAAAAATTGAAGTATTTTAGACTTTTCATAAATTCCACATCAAGAACATGAAATCTCAAATGATAATAATAAATAGGAATGATTTGAATTGACATTTTATGCCTTTTGAAATAACGTTTACAAAATATTTTCAAGGATGCTAATGGCTTTCCATAATTGTTAAGTCCAACTTAGAGATAAGTTGAATAGGATCTTTGTGAAACACCCCCAGCACTCCTAAAGAGAGCAAAATCTTGGTACCTTAGAGTTCTCTGGATTGACTTTCTTGGTGTTGATCTGAGGATCTGACTTGACTAACCTATCCCACCATTCCATCTTGTTGATCTGTGAATGAAAGGAATCAGGAGAATATGATTGATCTGAGGATCTGACTTGACTAACCTATCCCATCATTCCATCTTGTTGATCTGTAAATGAAAGGAATCAGGAGAAAATAAATAGATTTCCTACAATGACTTGGTTTCTACACCAACCCTGTCCTAAAGCAGTTGTATGATTACACTACCAGGGGGGGCGTTTCACAAAACTTGTCATCAGTGACAAATGACAATTTGTGTTATAAGCTACTGAAATCCTTGCTTCTGATTGGTTATCAGCAGATTTGTCACTGATTTTTGTTATTTGTCATTGAAAAAAGGCTTTGTGAAACACCCCCCTGGATTACACTTCTTATACCGGTATGTCATGATTGAGCATTTTACTTTCCTTCATCTCAAGCATAGAAAACAAAATTCTTCCAGTCTAGTAAAAGGATTGGGTAACTTTGTCTCAGATTCTGAAAAAAAATCCTGGGTTAACTCATGCTGCAATGATAATTATAAACCTTTAGGTCAGTCAGGAACCCCATGACTTTTAAAAGTCGACCGCCTGTCTGATTATCAAGATATTTATGATTGGAAATCAAAACCGAATTTTTTGTTTGACAAACGGTTTTCATAACACTGCAGTCTATTGGGGGAAACGAGTATGGTAAAACCGGTCACTAAAAGATTTTTACTTTTTTGAGGCACTTCATGATCATTTTGAAACGCAATTTTTTTTAGGGCTTCAATATTACACCATATCACAGACACAGATAACACGTAGGGTCATGCATCTCAGATTTAACATTGTTAAATGATCCCTTTAAATCTAACCTTCTCTATGTAGAGAATAACAATCTTCTTGTCCTGTATGACCCAGTGACTCTCCTCTTCCTTCAATTCATTGCACGACTCTCCATCCAGCAAAGGTTCATGACCTTTTAACCCGACCTTCAGACGTCGTTTAGTGATGGATACGACAAGGTCGCGGTTTTTAACTGCCATTGGCATTGGAATGTGTACCTGAAAATTAAAAAAAAACTTGTCATACAAGACCAAGGCATATGAAAATATACAAATATATATACAAGTATGAATATAGCAGATAACTGATTTTACCATTGACATAGGTTGGTATCTTGAGAGCAGACTAACTTTGATAATAATAATACAGTCAAACCTATTTTAGTGACCACCGGTCTACAAAGACCACATTTTTTGTTTCCCTTGAAAATGGTTTCTCATTGAAACATGTACTATAGGCACCTGCACATAAAGACCACCTGTCTATATAGACTGCTTTTCTTGTCTCCCTTGGGCAGTCTTTATAGACAGGTTTCACTGTATACCATATATGAATTTAAAACAAGCACATATCCAAAACTTTTGATCATAGAAGTTAAAGCCACAGGTTCATCTACTTGATTACCCACAAGTATATACTTGCTTTCTTAGCAGTCAGGTCAAATCCAATCTGTGATCTTACCTCTACTTCTCCTAGTGTCTGTGTCCATACATAGTTAGGCATGTCAGCTCCATTGCCTAAGTTTGGTTTCATCTTCTTCTTGTCTTCTTCACTCTCCTCCTCATCTTCATCCTGTACAATCACAATGGTTTATAATCAGCATCAAGCAAGCAAGAAGGTCACATTAATAGTCCTGGGGGTGTTTCACAAAGATCCTAAGTTAAACTTATCTCTAAGTTGGACTTAACAATTATGGAAAGCCGTTAGCATATTCAAAAGACATAAAATGTTGATTCAAATCATTCATATTTTCTATTATCAAGGAGATTTAATGTTCTTGATGTGGAATTTATAAAAAGTCTAAAATACTTGATTTTTCGCTTTTGGGCATATTTTGTTTTAAGGCTACAAATGGCTCTCTATAACTTTTAAGTCCAACTTAGAGTTAAGTTTGACTTGGGATCTTTGTGAAACACCCCAGAAAAACCATGTGCAGGTAGGTAGGTGTAAATTACCTTTCCCTGCTTTGATGTAAAACTTCATAGACAAATATTGTATTTACATGGTATACAGCTCTCTGAACAAGGTTCTATTCATGTTGACAAATCTCCAAATAAAAAATGACATTAAAGAAAAAGTTGAGTTCTGGGAAGAGGTAAACAAATAATTTGGGAGCTTTATATCATTGTTATAATGCAAGTGTGGAAGAACATTAGATATAAAATGTTCTCTGAAAAGCATGGCTCTTTAAATGCCTTAATATTTTAAATATGGCATGTTAAAGCATAAAAATCGGGACGGCTTTTTATGCCACATGTTTGTGTAGTCCCATATACATATTTCTGTGTACAGTGCTTGTAACTTTACCAAGACTACCGGTAGGCCAAATCTCTTATCATTTGGATGATTCCAGAATCTTGCAGTACACACCAATACTTATATGCTAGATGATCAACCTTTTCTGATCGATACCACACCGTTTCTTGACAGTGCAATCGCATGACCAGAAATCAATTTTATCTTTAAGCTCGAGTTCTGGTAATGATAGAAAATAAATTCTCACAGAATCCAACAAAACTTACACTAAATGTTCAAGATTACAAATAAATGACATGTTAAATGATTTTGATAGAAAATGTATAGGGGCTGAGTAATGAGCATAGAACGATAAGGAAATCAAGGTAAGTAGGCCCAACACCATGTGCTTTACACAAGTCCCTATGGGAAAATGACAGTTGTGGTTTTTATCAAAGGTGATTCGTTGTGAGATTTTTTATTTTACTAGTTCAAACAATCAATCTTCTGCAGTATAAACAATCCAGAATGAATTATATCCATGTACTGTTGACATACGATGCCCATTAGCTTTAACTTGGGAATTTCAAAAGTACAACATAGGGGGGAACAGATTTGTCCAGCCAGAAAGGTTACTGACCTATATATTGGACTCCTAGCTTTGAAAGCTTATTGAAGAATATTGATTATTGGGTCGGTCTCAGACCTACTCAATTGACAAAGAAAACTTACTAAATCCATGACCATGACAGACATTTTGAACTAACTTTTAATGACATATTTCTACAAACTCACGTCTTCTTTAGTTTCCTTTTTTGATTCTGTAGTTCCAGTATCCCCTTTGGCTTCAGTTCCTTCACTGGGCTTTGCTTTCTCCTAAAAATTAACAAAAACAACAAACAAACAAAGAGTTATCAAGAATCTATCAGATAACATCCAAATGAATACAGAAATTGGGAGTGATTAGAAATCTGAAATGTCAAATTATAAACTTTAATGAACGTCCCTCTAGCCCTCTAGTTATTTCAGCATAGTATATATACTATGCTGTTAGTATATGCTATAGTATATATATTGCTTTTTTGAAGCAGCTCTGACCACCATTCACTGAAAGAGTTTTTGTGATAAGCGTGTTGGACCTCAAAAACAGATTACAGATTGTTTTTGCTTGAATAATTCAAATAATTCTACTTCAACTTCTTCCGTCTGATACTAGAGCGCGTTTATCTAGGCTTGCCACTAGATATGTACATATCGTACCCCACTATCGAACCCCACTATCGTACCCCACTATACGATCGTGATTTGCGGGATGTCGCGTTTATCGACCCTTCACGATTCAAAATAAAGGCCTTGTGTCTGCCCAGCTGTTTTGACCCGGGACGCAGACAGTTTCTCGGAGGTCAACTTCACACGTATGCTTGTACACAACACCTGGGCGGTCTTATTTGTATGTGAGGTACAAAACAGCTTTGCGTTTATCGATCATTTTGAAACGTGATTCTGGCTGTATGTGACATACAAAACGCACCTTTTTGCGTCTTTAGATATGCCCATATCTAAAGACGTTTGAAAAAGGCTTTGCGTTTATCTACTTCTAAATTTGCCTGAAAGACGTTTGAGAAACCTGATTCTAGCCAAAAATTTCCTAGATAAACGCAACCCTATACCAGCATCCATCATATCACGGACTGGAATAGAAGTAAATGTAGTAAAATCATAAAAATGTGACTGCATTATTGAAAAGGGATCAATTAAAGGGTTATCATTTTGACAGGACTCGGGACTAACAGGTACCTGGGACATTTGGATGCCATAAAAATCTAACCCTTGACCCCCCTAATACCAAATTGATCTGTTGATGTTATTACATATGAATGATCACGTATCAAAGAGAACAAAATAAACCTAAGGTTATTTCTATGTTTCCATGGATAAAAGGGAGCAATGACTGACCTTATCTATCTCAGCTTGTAACCTGTCTGCCTCTTCATCTGTGAGCTCCTGTATTTTGGGTGGATCGACTTCTTCTTCTTTCTTCTTCTTTGTCTCAGCAGCTAGTCTTGCTGCAGCCTCCTTGGCTTTACGCTCTGCTTTAGCCTTCTCAGCTGTCGCTGCTTCGTCTTCCTTCTTCTTCTTAGCATCCAGGGCAAGCTTCTGATGAGCCTTGAAGCTTCCTATCACAACCTGATCAGCAGGTCAAAGGTCAAGGGTCAAGGGTGAATGTCAATTGTTTAGTGAAAGAGAAAGTCCACTGTACTACCTTATACATGTAGATCTCATTAATGGCATTTGGCATTACTTCAAAATGACAAAAAAGCAGAAAAAATTAAATTTGCACTATGCAGCTTTAAGCTGGCTACATGTTTACTAAATATTCGAATTAAATTGTTAACAGAAAAGAAAGACAGTCATAATAAATTTGCACTCTACAAATTCATGGGTTGGATTGGAATCATAATCTGTCATAGACCAATTTAAATCGATATTGCAACAATTTCTATTCACCTCTTTATCCTAACCTATTAAGGATTTTTCAAAACTCTTTTGAACACTTATTTTACAATTTGAAAAGAATAACAAAATAAAACCAAAGAATAAAATCCTAGTTCTACAAAAATTACCTTCTCTGCTTCTCCTTTCTGTGCACCTGCGAAGAAGTCTGTTTTTCTCCTCAGAAATCCAAAGAAATTATTGATGAGCTGTTTTCAATAAAGGATAAGAAACCAAATAAATCATAATTGATCATATTTAAAAGTAAAATGCAATTTTGATAATTACCACCTTCAACAGAGGGAAATCAAACTTGTTCACACATCGTCGCCGTTTTCACGAACCGGCACAGCCCAACGCGCAACGAAATAAGTACATTCTGAGAAAAACGCGTTTTACGTTTAGCCCGTTTTGAATTCGCCAGAAACATGCCTTATGTCAAATTTTATATCACAAAATACATATCAATGAAAGGAAAATATTCTGTATTTTCTATACATTCCATTTGTTAAGCATAATGACAATTACTATTAATATTACGAAGCTTTGGACTCTCGTGCCGGTTCGTGAAAATATTATTTTGCTGTTTACGTAGCAAAAATATTTTCACGAACCGGCACAAGCCACTGTGTCGTTTTTCCTATGTAACTTTACGCGCAAGACAAAAGCGCTCGCGCTGTCTTAGCGCGTATTTTATTTTCACGAACCGGCACAACCGCCTGTGTCGCGTCGTCTAGGTCTTGTAAGCGCAAAGATATTTTCATGAACCGGCACAGCCCATTGACTTATAACGGCGCGTGCCGGTTCGTGAAAATATGAATCGTGCTTTTTGGCTCGTGTGTCGTTTTTGTCATTTGTGTAACCATGGATATCTCAAAAACTAAAGCGTTTTGGATGCTGAAATTTGGTGAGATGAAAGATTGTTGATAACTTATGCTAAAAATGCAAAAAAAATAAAAACTACATTTTGAAGGGATTTCGGTGGCTTGTGCCGGTTCGTGAAAACGGCGACGACATATCTTACTGACCGTTGTGATAGCTCATTCTTTCGGTAGCTTCAATGTGATATTGCATTTGAGGCTAGGATGTTAGTGTGAAATTGACCATCTGAGTAAAATTGATTCACAAAAGCATATACTAATTTGCCACTGTGATGGAATTGACCCAGGATATTCTATGGCTAGATTTTACAATGGTCTCCTTGGAGAAAATCTGTCACTGGAGAAATCATAAACTCATTACCAGCAGTCTAGCAGTACTCAGTTGGTAGGGCAGTGGTCTCCAATCTGGTGACCCGGGTTCCAAACAAAGTCGATGCACTAGTGCCCTTTGGTAAGGCATTAATCCTCATTACCAGGTCCCTCAGAGAGGACCTAAAGCCATCGGCCATCTGGTTGTTTACTTACAAGCATTTATGCTTTCTTAACAGTCAGGTAAAATAACCATAACCACCATTAACCACCACATTAACTTGGTCAGCTCTCTGTCTATGCTCACAAACTGACTCAGATTGACTCCGGTTCGAAACTGAACCACTTCTTTTGGATGGTGATATTAAGGTTGGTCCTAGCCTTAAACTAAAAGGCTCGGTGATAATATGAAATATTACGTGGGGATTACGAAGGCATTTTAGGTTTTGTTTACATCGCTCTCCACGCACGGGTATGGGTGGCAATTAAGGCTACCGTAGGTGCTATCAACTATCAATATCTTATTTCATATTATCCCCTAGCCCTAAAGGTTAAGACTAGTAGTTGGTCCCCAAGACGTAAATAATCATCTCTGATTGATACACTTCTGTAACTGTAACTTAACTTTCTTTAGTTTAAGTTTAACTTTTTAAGTTTAACTTTTAAGTGTAAAAACCCAATTACATTTACAGTCACACACACACACAATGTCCACTGCAGGGCCTTGAATCAAATCACATGACAGATCTTTCAATTCTCTTGATTTTATGTTTCATACAATTTAGGAACCAATCAATCTCTACAAACACAGACCACAAATGAAAAAAGAAGAAAGCACTTGTAACGGTTTGCTGAACGAGGCATGCGCACAGCTGTCCGATGGTACTGTAGCAGCCGACGAAGATTGGCTATCGGTACGATATCGTTATGTTATCGGATCATTATCAAAGTTCTTTCTACAAAATTCACTGAAAGCCTGTCCCACAATGCAGTTCAGAAATGACATGGCATTATTTACCTCATTCTCCATACGTTGATACCAAGAATTGTCGAGCATCATTTACGAAAGCCCGTCATTTTCCGGACAATTTTAATCTGAATTAGACAGACATATCGTGTGTGCGTGGCGGGGTCCGGCTGCATTGATTTAATACATGCGATGAGATACATTTAAGCTTGCGACTAACACAAAATCGGGCTCTAAATCTGAAAAATACTTGAAATAAAGCATATTTTATGGTACCCATATTTCTTACATACACGCGTAAGAAACTCGATTTTTCAGATTTGGGTAGCGGGACCGCCGATTACATCGCTAAAATGTGATATTTTAGGATATATTTTCCATTGCAAATGTGGTTCTTCAGTGACTCTGGCATGGTATGGTATGTGTGGGATACGTGATATGCTATTATGCGATGTATTTTAAAGGGATTTTACCATGCATCCAATGGATCGGCCGAAAACTGGAGCTGGTCGTTTTACCGGCTACTTTACTCTAATTCGAGTTTTAGCAGCCCTAGCTTATAAAAAATGTATTCTTAAACAGTAAGTTTGACTGATTTTGTATAATTTGTGAAATATTGTGATATCTTTTTCTGGATTCTTGTCATGTTTATCTATCGGTTGATGTTACTGTTAGTTTTTACAAGTGCGAGTGCCGAGTGTGTGCAACTTGCAAGGAGGCTTGGCAAGGTAGATGTGCGAGAAGAGAAGTATGCACATGCGATGAACTGTTGCTTAAGAATATGAATGTAAGCTGCCTCATGAATTATGCATAGGCCTATATGGATTTTGCGCATGTGGTGTAGCTCAATGCAAAACTGTTAAACTCTGTACACAGTGCATGGAAAGCAAACCGTTGTCGAAAGGAACTCAATGAAACTAACAACACAATACTGAGTGCGTGGGACCGAGACGAACATGTAGCAAAAGATATGCTTTGCAAAATTAGATAAATAGTACATTACACACACTAAAAACTTCCTTATGATTAATTGATAATATGATATTCACCTGATGAATCCCTTGCTCTTGTTGCTGGGCCATCGCCATCAGCATACCGTCAAATCTATCGTCATCTTCGGCCATTTTAAACGTGTTTTGTGTGGATTACGTAGGCTTCCTTTCAGTCTTTATTGAGCATCGAATTTTCTCGAAACTTTTTTTCTTCTTTACCCAAGAAAACATTTCCCACAACAGATCAGATATCACATCGGCTCTCTAAGCCTGAAAGGACTTGGAGAGGGGAGGAGTATTTTGAGGGGAATTTAAGCGTTTCTAGGACAAATTTTATAACCCTCTCTAAGGCTCTCTCTCTCTCTCTCTCTCTCTCTCTCTCTCTCTCTCTCTCTTAGGCTCTCTCTATATGTTTCACTCAGGGCTCTTAATCTTTTATCTTCATATTTTCACTCATTTTTTTTTTACCCCCCCCCCCCCCCTGTCCTTGGTTTCCCTTTTAATTTGAGTTTCTTCCAGCATCGACACCATTCGTTCTTGAAAACATTTTCCCGCTATTTTTTTTTTTTTTTTTGGGGGGGGGGGGGGGGGGGGGGGGGGGGGCTTAGGCCTGAAGGGTTCTTGCGTTCATTTCTTCATGTGCCTGGTTTTGTAGGGGAAACCCCGCCCATCAGTGGCGTACCTGGGGTACTCCGTCAGGGGGGGCAAGCGACCGAAACAAACAAAAAAGGCGATGCTAATTTTCACTTCTGGCGAGCGAGCGAGCGAGCAAAAAAAAATCTTGAAGTAACGTTTGGTATATAAACTGGTATTGTTGCAAGTTGGGGGTGGGAACATTCACTTGTTAGCGACGTTAATTTCATTTTTTTGCAAACTAGTGTAGCGAGCAAGAAAAAAATCACTTCTTTTTTAATAATTGCCACATAAACTTGGTTCAATTGTCCCATGCAGGGCGCGGGAACAATATTGTGTTTAGGGTGATTTTATACCCATTTTAGCTAGCGAGCGAAAATACATCTTTCTCTCAATGAATTGCTATATAAAATTTGTTTCATTGTTGCAGGTAGGGGGCGGGCACAATCGTGTTTAAGGCAATGTCAATCCCATTTTGGCGGGCAGGCAACCCCCTACATTTCTCTTTTTAATGATATTGTAGCAGGTTAGTGGTGGGCACATAATTCCACGAGCTAGCGAGCGTAGCGAGCGAAAAAAAAAATCACTTTTCTTTTATAGGGAAAATATGGTACATAAAACTTGGGTTCATTGTTCCATGTCAGGGACGTGATTTTTAAAAGCGGTGTTAATTCTATTTTGGCGAGCGAGCGTAGCGAGCGAGCAAAAAAAAAATCACTTCTTTTTATAGGGAAAATATGGTATATAAACTTGGTTTAATTGTTCCATGTCAGGGACGTGATTATTAAAAGCGGTGTTATTTCTATTTTGGCGAGCGAGCGTAGCGAGCGAGCAAAATTTTTGTAATGATAATTGGTTCATAAATTTCAGATTTTTTTGTTGCAGGGCAGGGCTTACACAATCATGTCTAAGCTTGATGTTAATTCCGTTTTGGCGAGCACGAGCACACCAAAACTTCTTTGAATAACGTTTCGTACATAATTATTAACTGGTTGTTGCAGGTTGGGGCGGGCACGTTAGCGGTGTCAATTCCATTTTGGCGAGCGAGCATAGCGAGCAAGCAACAAAAAAAATTCTGTTTTAATAGAAATTAATAAATAAACTTGTTTTTATTGGTGCAGGTCAGGATGGACGCAATCGCGTTTAACGCGATTCAATTACTTTTTGGCGAGAGGGCGAAAAAACTCTTCCATTTTTAATGATATTGTTGCAGGTCAAGGGTGGGCACAATTGTTTCCAAAGCAATGTCTATTCATTTTATTCGCGAGCGAGTGTAGCGAGCGAGAAAAATGAATTAGTCTCTTTTAGTAACATTTGGTACATATATTGTGTGTTATTGTTGCCATGGTTGCAGGTCGGGGCCCGTCGAGGCAGGCACAATTGTATTCTAGGCAATACTAATCCTTTTCTTTTTTCAGGGGGACGAGGAAGTGAAAACATTTAATACAAAAAAGGCTAGCAAGCAGTTCGCGCCAGCGAAGAGTTTCAAATTAGTTATATCACTTATATTTTCCTATTTTCATTTGTTTTAATTTGTCAGGGCCGTATGCGGAATATTTTTCTGATGGGGGAAGGGAGAAAGATGCGTTAAAAGTTTTCGAAGAATCTCAAAAGCAAAAGGAGTGAAGGGAGTTCGAGCGACCGAACTGGTCATGAGGGTAATTTTGCATTTTCAAAAGGATTTGGTATAGGCCTACACTACATTTTCAGGAAAAAAACTGTACGATTTCAAAATATCTGGGGTCAACTGCCCCCCCCCCCCGGTGCTTACGGCCATGTTCTTTATTTTTTTTCCCCATTTTTATTCCTTTCCTTTTCTTTTCCCTTTTTCTTCCTTTTCTCTTCTTCTTCCTTTTTTCTTTCCTTTTCCTTTTTTCTTTTTCTTTCCTTTCCCTTTCTTTTCTTTTCTTTCCCCTTTTTCTTTTTTTCCCCTGGAGCCCGTCAGGGGGGGCACTCTGCCCCCCCTGCCCCCCCCCATAGGTACGCCAGTGCCGCCCATAGAACCGCTACTTGATCATACTTTTTCCTGAGCCAGTAACCGCATGGTAGGCCTACGTCACGCACCATTAATTGGGCGGCTATGAGATTCGAAGTACTTGGTCAATACTTGAACCATACCGATTTATCATTAATTGATTTGTTGTTTTATTAAATCAATGTAACTCATTTATTCAATTACTCATGTATTTATTTATCTATTAATCTATCTATATATGAATTGAATTAGTTCATTTATTTATTGACATGAGAAAAGTGTTTCTTTCGCTCAAAATCTGCCTATATTGCCCTCCACCAAAAAAGGCTTGCGCTTACGCGCTCGCAATGCGTTTGCCCACACGGCTCCGGCCCTCCGCCCCCCTTTTTTTGGGGGGGGGGGTGGGTGATGAGTCCTGAACCCGCCGCAGCATACCCCCCACCCCCCCCCCCCCCCCCGCGAGACACCGAAAAAAGGAGAGGAGGAGGCGGAGGCTTAGGAAGAAAGAAGAAAAGGAAGAAGAAGAAGAAACAGCCATAATTCTAACACTATCTAATATCTTGCATGATTTCATAATCTTATACAATTTAGGGGTTGTACCTTTTCTCGTTGATCTCATAGTTATTAGGAACTATATTCATAATATATCAATGACGAATATCAAATGCATACATGACATACATACATACATACATACATATTGGTATTTATTGAGCGCCTTTACATGAACATGCTCAAGGCGCTTTACATTTTAAAATACAAACATAATAGTTATATACTCTCCAAGTGCATTACACTCTAAAAAAAAAAAAAAATGACAATTACAAAGAAAACAAATGAATTTTTACAGGGAGTGTTTCTTAAATAATGCGACTGGGGTGCAAGAACGAATGCTTAAAGGGAGACTATTCCAAATAGTGGGACCAGAAAAAATTATATTTTGTTGACCCTTCTTCGAATTGATGCGGGGGATTTGCAGAAGAAGGGGGTCTGACCTTGAACGTAATGGATATCTTGAATAAATAAATATCTGAATGGTATTAAAATAAAAAGACTTGTCTAAATATAAAAGACAACGCTCTTGTGTCGTTATACCTACATGTATAGGCTATCATCTGAACTTAAAGGTGTAACTTTCCTGAAAATTGACATTAAGAGTTAAATCATCCCCTATTTAAAAAAATTGATCTGGCGACGCCACTTGAAATAAAACCTTCCATCGCTCGCTAATGCAGTGGCGGATCAACAAGGGGTGGGGGGGGGGGGGGGGCTCCCCTGGCCGAAAAACAGGTAAATTTAACCTTTCTTGAATAAATAAAAAAGACGGGCCCCCTCCCCCTTTACTCAACACCCACCTCCCCCTGGCTTAAAGGGGGGGGGGGGTGTTGAGGGGAAAAAACAGATTAGCGCTCACTACCCTACCCCCCCCCCCCGCGTTGAGCAAAAAAGAATGCTATTACCCCCCCCCCCCCCCCCCCACTTATTCGCCGGCTGGTTGATTCGACGCTAAATATTTTCTCATGAATAGGCCTGTTTACTAATGTATTCACGGACCTTTAAATTTGCACACGGTTGTAAGCTCTGGCAAACAAACCGAGCGCAGTGTCTGCTACGGCCCTGCTACACACACTTTGTATACGGCGATGTGGGGAATGCGAGGAAAAAAAGGCTGATCATCGTCCTAATAAACTTCGTTTAAAACTGTTTGTTTTCCAACCTTAGGGTATATAATTAAAATAAATATAGTTTTTCTCAGTTGTACATGACAAATCTTCGATTTTATTTTCCGAAATCCGACGAAATATCGCAAAAATGGGAGGTAAGCATTGCTGTTACGGCACGTGTAACAGCGATTCACGGTACGCAGACAGACCCCATATGAATGGTGTGTTTTTCATCCCGTTCCCCAAACCAAAGACGAACCTGGAGAAGTGTAAAATATGGATTAAGAATTGTGGAAGAAAGGACTTTGGAATCGACATATTATATGCTTTGAGTTTCTTTCTGTCGTAGTCAGTTCTATTTACTATCAGGTAGTTGAAAATGTCGTATAATCCGAAATCTGGTATACTTTCAAAGTTCTCGGTGTAGCCGGTGATTTTCATTGGGTCGTCGAACGAGCACCCCGCACGCTCCAACTTCTCCCGCAGCGACCGTGCGGAGTCGAAGCTCGCAAGGTCCGGGTCTTGGGGCAAAGCGATATCGGCCACAGCAGTCGCAAGTTGAACTAGTTTCTGTTTGTTGTACCCTGATGTCGTAACTCCTCTCTTTCTTAAATAATCGGTGAGCTCCTTCACTGTCCACTGCGAAAACGGCTTGCTGGAACTACAACTCGATGTCGAAGGCGATGCCATTGTAGAAATTAGGGTGAAAAAACGTCGCGGTCGCTAGCAATGGCTTTGTATGTGTATAGCGTAGCGGGCATGGAAAAACAATGTGGCGACCGTGCCGCACCACGCAAAGCTTGCCCTACGTAGTAACAATCGCTAGGGTGCGAGGGATTATGACGTCACTCGCATATCATTAGTAAACAGGCCTATTGGGAGGAGAATAAATTAGTGCTCCTTAATTACCCCCATCCCCG